TTTCTGAAAAAAAAAAAAAATTAAAGACGAACTTTAGTTATGAGGCTTTCTGAACAACAGCTCTCGATCGGGCCTGTAGGCTCCTCGAAGTTCCACTTTTCGCGAATAGCACTTGATTGTTTTAATAATAAAAAAAGTGTTTGAAGCAGTGAAATTATAAGTTTCGTTTTATGTCTTTCGCAAGATTGATTCATCAACGATTTGCTGATGAAAAGTTTGTCGGTTGCAAACTAGGGAGAAATAAGACCTCAGACGTAGAAGATTTGCATGGAAAAGCTTGAGCAATGTTTAACGGTGCAAACTTGCAAGTTGAAAGATGCATCATTTGGAAAAACTGAGTACACTAAATTATAGGATCTCAAGAAGTAGCCTCTTCTTTCGAAAATTGTCTTCATAGAGACTTAAGGCTCCCATATTTACTGTTGCTGGGCAACCTGACGGATAAGGTGACAAGCACTAGCAAACTTTAACGACATTGCGACGTTGTGGGCCAACTGAATAAGACAAAAAAAAAAAAATGATTAGGCAGGTTTTAAACGCAGATAAGTGGAGGCATAGAGTCTGCTCATCTGATAGGATGACAATGAATTCAAAAGCGATGTTTACCATCATCACGCGTACTTATTTGCGTAAAACAACCTTCCACGTACAGTTTTATAATTCAATAATTGTTAATGCACTATAAAGCGTAAGGAATATCTATAGCAGTTTCAAAGGCCTAAACTATTCATTTTATATCCAAAAGTTTTATTTTGAATAAGTTGAGTTTTTTTGTGGTAGATATTGTCGTCTAAACCAGTTTTTTGAGGAAACTGTTCCCACCAATAACGTAGCTCCATTTTCTGCCTTTAAAAGCACACACAACCCACAATTCCTCTATTCGCTCCGACGAAGGGCTAACGATTGGCATGGCTACCAATTACACACGCGACTGTTGCAACCGAAATTGGTTGATCTAGGGTGATCAACGTCACCTTGCCGGTACAATAAGCAAGTCGTATTTCCTTTCCTAAGGTTTAGCTTTTTCGTATTGTCTTCATTTGCCATTCAATCTTTGCTTCTCTTAATCATGATTTATTGAGAAAATTTGGGGAATCCTCCTTTCCAGCCAATTATAAACTGAATATATCAACAAGGATGAAATGGTAAATTGGCCACCGTTACGATTATAAAAGCTGACGTTTCGAGCGTTAGCCCTTCGTCATTCGTTCCGTGGCCAATTTACCATGTCAACTTTGTTGATATATTCAAAGTATTTCGTTACCCCCACCGACGTAGCCCCAAACAGTTTCTTTAGAAACTATCAGCCTTTATTCATTTCTCAAGAAAAGATGCGGAAACTTCCGGTTTAAAATTTGTCATACGCAATCGTTGGGTTGGGGCATTTGATAGTGCACTCTCCATAAATCGGTTAGGCAATGTACAACTTCTCGTCGAGAGAAAGTTTTCATTTTTTCTTTCCTCGTGAAAATTGTTTAGGGAAATATTCAACATTCATAGTTTGGTTGTTCTCCAATCTTTTTTTTTTTGTGTCGCTACAAGCTAGAACTGATTTCTGGCTAGAGCGCCCGTGTGGACAGCGATCGAAAGTGTCGAGCGCGCTCACGAAATTCTCTCTTGCTACAAGTTAAAAGATTTACTTAGTCATTTCACAAACAAAATATGGAAACTTCACTTGGAATCAGAGGAGAACCTCTCTTGGACTTTAATTTGCAGATGAAAAACTCACTAAATTGGAGAAAAGAATACTTAAACTGCAGGTGCAATCGGGCTGAAAAAAAAACCTCAGCGGGAGCGACACTTAACAATAGACTATGCCTCATTGAGGCTATGATCTCTTAAATTTTGTTCTAAAATTTCTCATGAAATTTGGTCAGAATAGCACAGAGATATCAATTTGAATATTTAGGCTTCTTTATGTGCTTGCATTTCTACAGTTTAACTGAAAATTTCTTTTCTTATTTGATGTTGCTTATAATTACTAAAACAGGTACACGACGATTCCCTAAGGATAGAGAGTGAAAGGTGGAAATAACTGCCTGAGGAGAAAACTAACCAAATTTACTGTTTCAGCACACATTAATTAATGTCACAGCGTCTCTGCGACGGGTGACGAAACATCCTTCATATATCACGACCACATGTGATTGGCTAACACGTTTCTAGGGAGTGTAACCTTAATTGGTGGTACATCTCAATCAACAAACTCCTGTTAAGCTCTTCGGTTTGCTCAACAGCTCCAAAACATTGAAAGGAATTCTTTTCAGCTGGTACTTCGCGGACATGGGAGTTTTTCTCCTCTTGTTCCCTATCTCTGTGGTTCTTTCCCTCGGGCAATTTCAGTCCTGCCCAGATGGTATGTTTTTAGGCTGGCATTTTTTTATAAGAAACCTTTATTATTCTGCTCTTAATTGTTCAGGTAAGAAATATATCAAAAAAAAAAAAAAAAAAGAAAAAAGAAAAAAAAACGCATATATAGAGGCCTAACAAACAAAATGGCTACTGAAACTCATCATCCATTTTAACGTGCTGTTATCTTTTGTTCATTCAAAACTATTCTAGATTATTTTTCACAATTTGTGAAGTGTGCTTGCAAAGTTTTTTAGTTATAACCGGACAACATCCGCAATTACTGAATTCTTTTGAGACACTCATATAAAGATCTACTAAAGTTTTATCAAAGTCATCTAAAGTTTATGAATATATTTTCACAAATTCCTCTATTTTACTGCTTGCACGAACTGAAGGAAGAGCCTAAAGTTATTCCAGCACTCAAGGATTTAAGAATTGATATATCAACTGGCCAGATAGAGAGCAATTTTTTTTTTAATTCGAAGAATTGTCTTCCTTCTTTTTACATTCTCCTGTAGAATAAGAAGCTCTCTTTGGGTAGATAATTATTCGCTGGTGTCATAGTTACTTGACATCATTTGTTTCTAATTGAAGATAATTTTCGTAGTAAAAATTTATACACCTCGAAAACATATTGCCGACAGGTGTTAAACATATACCAAAACGAGTGTCGTCCAATTTTTAGAACTCGTCATTCGAGGCTTATTATCTCCGTGATAGCAACTTTCCTTTGATATGTATTACGCAAGTTTTGGAAGCCTAATGAGTAAGTTTTTTTAAAGCTAATAACAACAGCGAGAAAGTTGTTGAAATGCATGCAGAGCAATTATGTTTCCAATAATGCAAAAGGAATACTGGCTGCGAATGAACAGGAACATTAAAACTTCTCATTTGACAGGTGGCTAAGAGATAGACGACATAGATGTCTAACCATGAACATATTAAAATTAATTGTATTTCACAACTCTTTATTAGTGGATTTTCATAATTCAATTGAGATTGATGCACAATGAAGCGCAGGGAAGATTTTAATCTTCAATAGCAGTTTCGGAGGGTTTTTCGGATATTAATTCACCATGGACACGTTTTATCTAAACCAAGTTTCATTGATGTAGACAATGAGAACAACAAAACAGAACAAAAAGCAAAATAAAGATCACAATGTAAAATTAAGAATTCGTTCATGCTTGGCGCGTGCATATCGTAAAATGGATGTACCGCAGCAGCAAGTTTGCAGAGCACATGGGTAGCATAAGAGTTCAATGAGGTGAGGCCAAGAGATATTCCAAGACCAATACTTTTTCCAAAAAAAGTGCAAAATTTTCTGCTTGGAAGCGAAAACCGAACGAGTATCCGGCACTTACATCATCTGCGTAATGCATTTAGCATGCTTGAATCATTTTTTTCTAGAATTTACGACGAGAATATGTATATTTGTGTTGAAAATTTTAAGATGTTAAGACAAAATAATCAATTCAACGACACTCAAATATTTCGTACTATTCTAAAGAAGAGTAAGAAAGCTCAGATTCCTTGATACGGCCATAAATCGTCACGCGTTTAGGAATAACATTTTCAACTCGAAAGCTATTTTCGTCTCGTCACATAGCTAAAAAATCATTGTTTCTTATGCAAATATCTACTTTTTTTGAGCTTCGAAAGATCTACAGTGTATCTCAATCGGAGAGAGAGAGCTCGGCTAAGCTTGACGGGAACTTACCAACTGAAGTGAACCGCACACGTCGTGTTCCTTATATGTTGTAGTTCAATTTTATCCTTGGTTCAAATTCTATTTCCCTTTGTTCTCGGTCATGTTAATGTATGATAATGAGTTTGAAAGAAAGGAAAATAAAATTTGAACCAAGGATAAAATTGAGCGACAACATATGCCTACATAGAGATGTCCATCAGAGTGGCCCATTAGAAGTTAAGCAGGATTTGCACGCGCGCGTTATCATAGTAACTTTAAAGATAGGTGAGGAAAATGTGATTTGAAATATTGGGCACAAGTTGGGAGTTCATGATTGAAATTTCTTGCCTC